ATTTTTGGAAAGGTTAGTCTCTTAGTGCATGGTTTTCTTAGGGAAAAAGTGTATACTTAGGGAATAAAGAAAATTTTGTATAAACTTTGGACCAATTTGACCCACAACAGAAACTCGAGTTTTGTGTAATTAATTAATACAAAAAAGAAAAAAAAAAGGTATATATATTTAAATAAGATACAAATTTAACTGACCATTTTAACTATTCTCCGACGTACCATCCAAAAAAAGAAAAAAGAAAAAAGAAGGGGGGTAGTTTCCGAGGTTCGTCGGATCAGTTGGCTGCAAAACCCTAATTACAGAAATCCGACCAAATCGATCTTCGATCCTGCAGTCAGAAGAAGGGAATGGCTGTCGCAGCACCTGGGCAGCTTAATCTGAACGAGTCGCCTTTCTGGGGATCCAGAAGCGTTGATTGTTTCGACAAGTTGGAGCAGATTGGCGAGGGCACTTACGGGTTAGTTCTTTTTTCTTCTCAATTTGTAAATTTTCTTTTTTTTTTTTTTTTGGGTAATTAGAAGTTTTGAGTTTTTCTATTTGTTATATTATTTCTGTTTAATCAGAATGTCTGCAAATTTCTCCCTCGGTTAGTGGGCATGGGTTGTTTACTAGGTTTGATATTTCATTCATAAAGTTGAAAATTTTTGCACTTGATGTACCTGCGTGCTTTTGTATTTGCAGTCAAGTTTACATGGCAAGGGAAAAGAAAACAGGTGAAATTGTTGCTTTGAAGAGAATAAGAATGGATAACGAGAGAGAAGGGGTATGTTCTCATTCTTCCCTTTTCTTTTTTTGGGGGGGGGGGGGGGGTTGGGGGTTTAGAAGTAGCAGATAACCACAGATAATGCCTCGTAATAACATTCTATTATTCATATGTATATGTAAGTGTTCACCTTACAGAATGGAGTTTAGAAAGCAAGTTCAAGGGTAGGTGATTTCTTTTCATTTAATGTATGTATTTGTTCCATTTTCCCTGCAGTTTCCAATCACTGCAATACGTGAAATCAAAATTCTAAAGAAGCTACATCACGAGAATGTTATTAAGCTGAAAGAAATTGTGACTTCTCAAGGTGATATTGTTGGTTCCTATATGTATGCAGTTGTTATATCTATGGATTTATGGTTGGTATGATTGCCTCTAAGTATCTTGAGTGTTGGGTTTGATATCCAGATGATGAGAAGAATGAGCAGGAGAGACCACCACAAGGCAAGTATTTTTACTGCACTTAGCTGGTTCTGATCCTTCCCTTATTGTTGAAACTTTTCTATGAAATGGAATTTGGGGATGATCTCACAAGCTTAGAGATTTCTTACTTTCAGTTACTTTTATTGCAGATGGTAATAAATATAAAGGTGGGATTTATATGGTGTTTGAATACATGGACCACGATTTGACAGGCCTTGCAGATCGACCTGGGATGAGATTTTCAGTTCCGCAGATTAAGGTATGCCATAGTTAATGGAGGAATATTAACTATTCAACCTTGACAACCTAATATTTAACCCTTTATCCTTTCTCTTTCTCCAGTGCTATATGAGGCAGCTGTTGACGGGGCTCCATTATTGTCACGTAAATCAAGTTCTTCACCGTGATATCAAAGGTTCTTAAAACAGCTAACCCTTCTTGTTGACAGTTGTTTCTGAATTTGAGAATGCTAACTAGTTTTGCATTTTTGTTGCAGGTTCAAATCTTCTTATAGACAATGAGGGTAATCTGAAGCTTGCAGATTTTGGGCTTGCCCGGTCATTCTCAAGTGATCACAATGCCAATCTTACAAACCGCGTTATTACTTTATGGTACAGGTAATTTAATGCTCTTGATACAGTTTCTGGTAAATTTTCCTAAACTGCATTCTTTTAATTCACCTCCTAAAGATGGTTTCAAACTTATTTTATTTCTGATTTTTTGTGATTTATACAGACCTCCTGAATTGCTGCTTGGAGCAACACGGTATGGTCCAGCGGTTGACATGTGGTCTGTTGGTTGCATTTTTGCTGAACTTTTGTATGGGAAACCTATTTTCCCTGGAAAAGATGAGGTGCGTTATTTTGTATGGGATACAATGATTGAATTTCTTCTAATTCATGAAAGATTAACTTGCTAACAAAAGAAAGAAAGAAAGGATATGGGCAATGGTGAGAAGACGTATGAAGAAAATTGCCCTAGATTGATGTGCTTAATCTTGTGCAATTGGTTATTGGTAGCTAAATTAGTTAAAGTAAAACTTATTCAACTAGTGAAAGTTTACTTATTCAACTCTTTACTGAGGTTAGCTTGACATGGAGTTTATCACTTTCACTTTTGTACTTCTCATAGCAAACAGATTCAGATGTGCACACTTGTGCACATATTGAGCTAGTACATTTACTATCCTATATTGTCAATCATCATTTTGTAAATACTTTCAAGATCCCAGTATAACTTCATCCTCTTTTTATTGTAACAGCCAGAACAGTTAAATAAGATTTTTGAGTTGTGTGGAGCCCCAGATGAGGTCAATTGGCCCGGGGTTTCTAAGATTCCCTGGTATAACAACTTCAAGCCATCGAGGCCAATAAAGAGACGTCTCAGGGAAGTTTTCAGAAAGTATGTAGCTCGACATATATATATCCATGCTTTGGAAGTTTATCATGAGTGTAAGGTTTGATGACATTTTTGCTTACACTGCTGCTTCTATGTTATAGTTTTGACCGTCATGCTTTGGATTTGTTGGAGAAGATGCTGACACTGGATCCTTCTCAGGTATCATGTTCTATATTTTGCCTTGACTGCTATGTAAATGGCTATCTCATCCAAAATCACTCTGATAGCATGACTTAATTATAGAAATGCTCTTCAAGTCCATTTTCTATTTGGTCATTCATTCTGTTCCTATTGCTGTAACAAACAGAGAATCTCTGCCAAGGATGCACTTGACGCCGAGTATTTCTGGACAGATCCATTACCTTGTGACCCGAAGAGGTATATGATTCTTTCTGATGTTGAATATTATTATTATTGAGATAATTATTGTGTTTATTCCTTAGGTATTTAAATTATTTTTCTTGTTTCAGCCTACCTAAATATGAATCTTCGCATGAGTTCCAAACAAAGAAAAAGCGCCAGCAACAACGCCAAAATGATGAAAATGCTAAGCGTCAGAAACAACAGCACCCACAGCCTCATAGCCGCTTACCTCCTATTCAGCAATCTGGGCAAGCACACCCACAGATGCGAGCAGGACCCAACCCACCCATGCATGGTTCCCAGGCCCCAGTTGCTTCAGGGGCAAGCCATCACTATGGGAAGCCTCGTGGACCCCCTGGTGGGCCAGGTAGATATCCCCCAAGTGGAACCAGTGGGGTGTACAATCATTCAAATCGTGGAGGTCAAGGTGGTGGCGGTGGTTATAATAGTGCACCATATCCTCCACAAGGTCGTGGCCCACCGTATGGTTCAAGCGGAATGCCTGGTGCTGCTCCCCGAGGTGGTGCAGGCAGCAATTATGGAGTTGGTCCTCCAAATTATCCTCAAGGTGGCCCATATGGCGCTTCCGGTTCTGGTCGTGGCTCTAACATGATGGGCGGAAACCGCAATCAGCAGTATGGTTGGCAGCAGTAACTCAACTTCATTGTTAAAATGTTTAATATTGAGAAGCACCTGAAACTCTAGCACTCAGACGAGTTATTGTGAGTGATTTGAGAATATGGATTCTCTAAATACTGATATTTATTTAAGCCAGTGCTCAGACTTGTCAGCATTAATGTGACAGTATGGGTTGCTTGTTGCTTCAATAACTCGAATGGTTCAGTAAATTTTGAATTTTCAACATTGGCAGAGTCCTTGGAAATTCTTTTTCCTTGTATTTCATTGCAACTATCCAACTAATGTTCTCTTTTTCTCTGGATATCTAATGTACACTAGTTTTCTCAGGAAACAATGACAAAATAAATTATCTCGAGGCATTTGAACGGAAAGATGAGGAAAAAAAGGCAATTTCTTACACACCATTAAGAACAATCCTCGAACTTCATGATCTTCAAAATTTTAGATACTTGATCAAACGATAAGTGAGGAACTCCAAAGACATTCAAACATTTTTCATTTTTGTTGCCGGATAAAGCAATTTGCAAATGCTTTATCCCTTCCTTGTTCATTGTTAACAACTTAAGGGTATCTCTAATTGTGGGGAAAAATGCTTCCGGACAAGCACAGAATGGTTGGAAAACTAGGAACAATGCTTGCATGTCGGCTTCAAACTGTCTGATTCCCCTGCTCGAAAACCGAACATCACCTGTCAGAATGCTGGTGGTAATAAAATGGTCAAGACCATCAGCGACACTTCGCCACATGTCTAAGAAGTCTTTCAGATTGAGATTTGCTTGAAGAACTTTAAGCTGACTTCTTAAAGTATCCAGTGCTTCAACAATATCATCTGATACACTTAGTTCTAGGGCTGCTGAAACTTTACTGATGGTCAAATTTTGTTCTTGCTTGCAATGTTTCCTATTATGGATATATGTGCCAATCAGAGCTTCAAATTGACGAAGAAGAACAGCAAGGATCTCTGTAAGCCAATTAGTCTCAAACTCAGCCAAGCTTCTTATTTCTTCACCAAAGAAGCAACAGTGATCAGTAGTCCCTCCATCTCTTTTCTGGATGTTAGAGTCATTTTCGGCAATCCTCATCATCAAAAATCTTGCATCGTCACTCCATTCTTGCAGCTTGGACTCAACATATACGGCAGCATTGATTGATCCACACACTTTCACAAAGGCATCGTCATCAGGATCATTAAAAGACAATTCAGCATTCTTGCAATGCAAAACCAAAACATTGAAAAAACTCCAGAAGAACCTGATCACTGCAGATCTAATAAACTTGGCACGGACCAAAATAGCTGGCAAGGTTTGGCATCGGTCAACCATTTCCCATGCAATTTTAAGTGCAGAATCAGCAATCATTGGAGCCTTGTAGTCTTCTCTGGTAGAGAGCAAAAATTTTTCAGATTCTGTACTGCCATTGAAGTCGACCCTATGTTTGGTATTAGTTAGCCAAGCTCTTGCATCTTTCAGTTCTGCTTTTAGTTTCCTCCATGCACTCTTGAACTCTATCTTTGCCCAAATTTTCAGCCAATCTGGCTTGTTACAAAATATTATCAATACTGATATGCCCTGCGAAAGCCCCTCAAACCTTTCAGAGTCAGGCAAGAAGAGACCAGCTTCTGAACTCAACAGTGATTGCATTTGTTTATCAAAAGCAACAATGAGATTTACCAGATGAAGCCAGGAAGAGATGACTTCCAATTTCATCTCTTTGTCCTTGTATCTTTCAGCAAGGGCAGGAAAAACTCTTTTCTCTAAAAACATAGAAAGCATATGGACCATCGCAGAAACCCAGGCTTCTCTAGCACTACAGCTCAACAATCTTGCTCTGTCAATCAAAGGCTGCAAAATTTCACTTACTCCTACAAGAAAGTCCCTTGTAAGTCTATATACAAGAGCAAAGATAAACTCAGGCTGGTCGATCCATTTTAGGAAGTGGTACTCCACCCGTGATGCAATAGGAGATACAAGTTCATCAATGGCCCAAAGCCCTATTTCATACTCCTTTTTTCCTAACATTTTCAACTTCCGCAGTTCTCTGCGGGCCTGAAATTGCTGCAAAGAACAAAGGACTTGGAAACTTTGTGAGTAAGACCTCCTTTTGTCTCCATGCATTAGAATTAGAGGGTTTGGAATCCCAGAGATACCTCCATTCTCTACTTTTGAAGTTATAAGTTTTGGTGGCCAACCTAAAGAAGCAAGAAGGACTCGGTGCTCTGAAATGACTTCTGGTCGAAGAACGGAGAGAGTTCTATCTACCCTAGCATCTACTGCTTGAACAAGATGTTGCCACTGTGGTTGGCATTTCTCAAGATTAACCAACACCTCCTCAATATCATTCATGGCTTTTAAAGCTTGAAGCAATCTTCGCTGCCGTGTATCAAAGTCCTGCATATCAAAACCCACTGTATCAATATCACATAGGTGCTTGCCAGTTAATGTTCTGACACACATTTAGAAATAATGGGGGAAAAGAGGAGAAGACAGTACTTCTGAAATTGGCGAAGTTGAAAGCTTTGGGGAGAACATATTCCCAGAATGGCAATTTGCAGCAAAGAATACTGCATCTTCAAGCTCTCCAACCAAAGCTTCTAACTGCAATACAGTTTCTGGACCATGAAAAGTGCAAACTTAGCATGTGCAACCGGCATGGTATGGATAATCATGATAATGACAAAAGGTCACACTTTTCACCTTCTAGCTTTAACCATGCTGTTATCCAAAAAGAACATAATATGCATACTGGGGAAGAACTGGTGTATAGAAATACAGAAAAACTGACAGGACAATATTAAAGCTTTAAACTTCAATTCAGTCTACCCATTTTTAGAAAGTTTCTTTTACCCATCAATACTCATTTGAAATTTGAACAACACATAAAAGTTAACGGATTTCTCCTGCTCACCAACATATTTGCGGATGCTCTCAATTCGCCGCAATTCATTAACAAATTGACACAGCTCCTCACCCAAAACCCTCTGGATTCTCTTGGAAGTGGAAGCAATCCCATCTGCCCACCAAAACCCAGAAGGGAAATAAATTAATGGTAAAGCCCCATCCCATTTCTAACAAAACTGAACAGAGAAAGAAATGAAGCATATTCAAAAAAAAAAAAAAAAAAAAAAAACGGAATTTCGTCACTCACACTGAGATGTGCAGAGGCGGAGATCCTTCAACTGGAGATTAGTATTTTGAAGGGATGATTGGAGTCGAAAGGAGCGAGAGATCCATGAAACGGCGGATTTGGAAAGAATTCTGTGGAGGTCTAGGAGATGAACATCCAAATTCGCACAGAGTTTGTTCAATTCGGAAAGGAGATGAGGAGCCCTAGAAAGATCCTTGGAGGTATTGAAATGTTGATCCAGAAACTGGGTTTGGTGGGAAGAGAGTTCGCCCACTCTGGGCAAA